CTGTGCAGAAAAGTCACTCAATCTGCCTCCTTTATTTGGCCCCCCTGAATCTTCAGAGGCGCCACAAAGTTCAGCTAGATGCAAATGCCTCCGTTACTTAAGATGTAAATTCCTTTCGCGAGTTGACTGATGGCTCAAAGTGGTTTTATGCTGCGAATACAAAAAATCTTCATTGTGCAAATGACTTGTCTGTGTGTAGACGAGCTGGCAAAGTTCAGCTCCAGCTTGATGTTGCTCATTCAGTGCAGCAGCTGCTTGATGAACTTTATGAGAAGGGTAGCATTAAATGCAGAGGAAAGAGCATATGATTAAGTTCTACCAAGTTTACATTYAATTTTTCTTAAAGCAAAACACCAAACAGCAGGTTTCACTTTGTTGTGTTAAGATATAGTTAGAATGGCAGCACTACAGGCTAAAAACAGTAAACTGTTTTATTTATTTGATTGTTTATTAAATTTTTTGTTTAACATACAAACACTTATCAATATTTTCCTTTTTTTGTTTCAAAATTTTTAAACTTTATTAAACTTTTACAGCATAATACAAATATTTTGAATTTGTTTATTTAAAAACAAGAATAATTATCATCTTACCTGTTGTAGGTAACACTTTGCATAACCCCATAATCGAGAAAAAAAGGGTTTAATTTGGACGGGATGGACAAGCTAACGGCTAATCTGAGCAAGGGCAGGACTAAAATAAATTGTTGCCATCTTAAAGTAGCTATAATTCAAAAATAATAGAGCAGTTTAAAAACTTTATTATTACTATTGGTTATAGATCCCTTCCAAAAAAAAAAAAGAATTAAAAATGATCAATAATTTCAAAAATGTAAAATGGTAATTTTGGATCTTTTGTTCAGTGAGGATAAGGTGTTTCCACACATTTTGTGATCTTTTATAGGGGTGGGGGGCAGGGGGATATTAGGCAAAATCAACTTTTTTTTTTATTTGTATCATGTTATGCTATTCTCTCATCAAAAACATCCCCAGAGTGTTGCTTTGACTCATTCATGCATGGATGAGCAATCCTTGAATCTCCTGTGGTAGACCGGTTGAGAGCTGCCGAAACACTTGCTGGTACAAAGCCCCGCCCATTTGTTCAAAGCTCCTCCCTGTAGCTCAGTCTGCAGCCGAGCCCCCGCCCAATTGAGCGCCCATCCCCCAAAGCATTTTTGCGAAGACATGCTGAAAGGGGAGTGTCTGAAATGGTAGGAGGTTTTTAAAGAGACCGAGGCCAATTTCAAGGAGTTTAGAAAGACTATCATGAAAAGCTCAATTTCATTTTGATATGTTCATTTTTATAACAACTAAAAGTAACAGAGTTGAACTATGTCCCTGGAAAATACTTACTCCCACCCTCACCCCCACAATATAAAACGTGTCAGTGTCTGAATACTGTAGTGTCAAATTGTTCTCCTTAATATCTTGTTTTTTTTTCTTTTTGTGTGTTTGTTTCAATGGCAGTGCCAAGGAGTCTAGACAGCACAGCACAGGAGGCACAMTTGATTAAAAGTTAGATATGCTTTCTTTAGGCAGTAAACACTGCATGCAATCAAAGGTGAAATTAGCACTTTTTGGGTTATTAAATCCTAGGGAGGCAGTCGTTTCATTATTCCTTTCCTTCACTTCTTCCCTCTGTCACACCTCAAACTACAAATTAATTGGGTTTAAATGCAAAAACGGTTGCACCTCTCTCCTATTTTTTTTTCTTCAAAAGGGCGAAGAGAAAAAATCATGCTCTTGGGAAGTCTAAATAATCACTTAAATTCCAGTTATTTTATTACGGAATAAAAACGTAAATGCAGTGACGCCTGCTAAGCTCCACAAGAACATGTGTGGGATTTATTTTCTTCTAAGACAAACGGGGGAAAAAAGCAACCTTTGTACTGATTGTTAATTGTGAAATGTATTTATAGCATGTCAACATCTAGTCAAACTCCCCTGGTGTGAGTGAATATTTTATAGGTTTATAATTATAAATATCAGGTAACATGTTTGCATGGAGGCAGTTCAGAAGTCATTGCTCTGTTCTAAAGGCAGGAAAAATAACAGCAACATTGTTATGAATTTAATGATATTTTCTGTTTCTTACAGCAAAACAATTTACATATTTACCATGGTGGTATGATTATATTTACATTATAATATAATAAATATACTGAACCTGTGACCTGAATAAATAATTTAAATTGAAGACTTAGCCTTTTTTATTATTAAAGAATGCGTATCGGTTGCGGCCTTGTACGTTATATATATTTTGGTCAACCCTTTTTAATGACTTGATGTGCGATCTTGTGCAAATGAAACCAAATTTGGGCCTAATATCTGTAAAAAATCACTGCTTCGCATTATTATTTGCATTGTCTAATGTTGACTTACTCTGGCACCCATCTTGATCTGGTATAACTCCAAAAGTTGATCAGTTTTAGATTCTGATTCAGCGATGGATTCCTGAAAATTTAATCAAAATCTGCCTCCTGGTTCAAGAGATATTCTGCTAACGAACAAACAGGATTGATGTCAAAAATCAAAGGCAAAGTTTAAAGGAAAATTTCACATTTACACAATATATCAGGGATTATCTGCAACTGATACCACACTCAATTTGAGCTCAGTATCTGTGACATTGGCTGAGTTACATGCCGTTTTGTGTTGGCTAATATCAGTCTGCTGTGGCGGCCATCTTTAATTGGGTTGCATTTGACCAGTGAGTGCAAGAAAGCTCCAGTAGTCGGCTGAAGAAACAGTTTGGTTGGAGATTTCATCATACAAACACCACGCAGGCAGCAAGATAAGCCTCTGTTAAACATTATCAAGGTAAACAGCTTCTCTGAGTTCAATATTGATTTTCAGCGTTCCACAGTCCTCCAAATAWACTCAACTGGGTTTCATGAGCTCCTCACTTAAAACGCGTTTGACAGATCTTCTAGGCTATTAGAGAAGTTAAAAACAATGGTTGGGCGACTAAAAATAAAGAAACTGAATTTAAAATCCTTTTCTTTATTCTCAGCAAATTAGTCATTGAAGAAATGCAAATGGGTAACATTAATTAACTGAAGCTGCTCTGCTCAAAGTCTGAACCACCTGGATGTCAAACCAGGAGCACAGCTGGCCTTCGTGCACTCAGCGACAAGTGGACACGTGTGCATGTGTGTCTGTGTGTGTGCGTTTCAGTTGTTGGTGTTTTGTCAGGTTTGGTGAATGAGCACCGTGTGTCGTGGGGATTTAGACTGAACATTTGTTTTGCTGGCCATTTGATAAATTTATTAATTAAATAATTGCATTCAAAAGTTGTACTTGTGTGCACAAAACTAAYGAGTAAAATAAGACATATGTGACAGGATTTACATTTTATGTTTCACCAGAACAGGAARCGTTGTTGGAGGTACACATGGAAAAACACCTGCTTGTGTTTTGTTTTTATTTTGTGTAATTTCTCCATGTATTGCCTGAAATATTCAACTGTTTGACTTCTTGTCCCAGAAAATTATTTTGTGTTTTGATTGTCCTCTTTACCATTATGGAGGACCAAACCTATCATTATTGGAAATAAATGTATAAATATATAAC